AATGGATTTCAAATCCGACAAATTCAACTGATCTTGCATCGACCGAGGTCGAAATCTCTGTATATTGTGTCGGTCTGAATTTTCGAGATATTGCAAAATTACGTGGTTTACATCCTCATACACGTGGAAGTGAAGATCAATATGATAAGAATGAATTTATTGGCATGGGCTTTTCTGGAGTTGTTCTTCGAAAAGGTTCTGGTGTTCATTTGAATATCAATGATCGAGTTTTCGGAATGGTAACAAATCAAAATGCTTTCCAATCACATTTAGTTGTAAATGAAAATCATCTTGTACAAGCACCAAGTGATTTAACAATGGTACAGTTATCGACATTGCCAACGTATATAACTGCTTTCTATTCTCTTCAAGATTGTTTGAAATTAAAATCCTCACAAACGATACTGATTCATTCAGCAGCAAGTGCAACTGGATTAGCTTTTATTCAGTATGCCAAAATGATTGGAGCGAATATTATTGCAACAGCTGGAACGAAAGAAAAACGAGATTTCTTACGAGAAAAATATCAATTAGAACATGTTTTTAATAACAAAGATTTATCATTTGTAAGACAAATTCGTCAAATTTATCCAAATGGTATTGATATTATCGTTAATTCTCTTTCGGGACTATTTCGAAATGAATCCTTAAAATTACTTGCACCATTCGGTCATTTTATTGAACTTAATCAAAATGATATCTATGCCAATTCGAATTTGTCCTTATTTCCACTAAGAACAAATTGTACTTATCATGTCATCGATTTAACTTCTCTTCAAAAATATTCTCCGGAAAAAATTCAATGTTTATTAAAAGATATTGCGAATTTATGTAACATGAAACACTTAACGCCCATTACACCAGTTCTGGAATTCGATGCATCACAAATACAAGAAGCATTCTCCGTATATTCTCAAGCAAGACATGTTGGAAAATTTGTTATCAAAATTGCTCAATCTGACCGAGAATTACTCATTGAAAATGATCCAACTGAAAAACAGACATCACACAAACATATGTTTTCAAAATCAGTTTGTAACGAAGGAACAATTGTGATTAGTGGTGGACTTGGTGGTCTAGGGATTGATATATCAAAATGGATGATTAGAGAACGTGGTGTGAAACGAATAGTTCTATTATCAAGAAGAGATATAGATCAACTTGAAAAGACCAGTTATCAGTATAAAGATTGGAGTCATCTGCAAGAAATTGCCAAAGAAAATCATGCGTTCGTCGAAGTTATGAAAGCTGATATAAGAGATTATGATCAAGTCTTCAATGCTCTTTGTCATATTAGTGAAATGAAATCTTATCCAATTCGTGGTATTATTCATAGTGCAATGGTTTTACATGATAGTTTATTTCAAAATCTAACGAATGAAATTTTACATAAAGTAATGCAACCAAAAATTCATGGCGCATGGAATCTTCATCGTGCAACGGAAACTTTGTCATGTCCTTTGGAGTTTTTCATTATGTTTTCATCAATACGAAATCATATTACGGGAGTTGGACAATCAAATTACAATGCTGGAAATAATTTTCTTGATTCGCTTGCATATTGGAGATTGAATTATCGAAATTTACCAGCAATTTCGATTGCTTTACCGGCTATATCAGGAGCTGGTTATCTACATAATCATGCCCAATCAACTGTTGAATTAATGGAACAACAAGGAGTACATTTGATGCCATCGAAATATGTTTTCCAAGTCATTGAACAATTACAACATAATCAAAAAGAACAACAACGAACATTAGGTAAAACGAATCTTTTTAATCCAATCATTTTTTCTGTCGATTGGAAAACTTTACTTACCACGAATTTACCAATAAAATTCAATAATTTTGTGAAACAATTTTCGAAAACTAATCCTGAAGAAACCAAGATTTCATCTGATGATAATAACAAACCATCAAACTTTGATCTTGATACCATAACTAATAAAATCCGTTTGCGAATTTCCAAATTATTTGGTGCATTGAATAGTAATCGAATCGATTTAGTTAAACCATTGATTCATCAAGGTATGGATTCGTTAACTGCTGTTGAACTTCGAACTTGGTTAGTACGAGAAATGTCAGTCAATATTCCTCTTGTCGAATTATTACAAGGCATGTCAATCAATAATCTTGCTCTATACATTCAACAGAAAGCACTTCAACATCAAACAAATATGAATATTAATAAAAATTCTTCTGAATTATCATCGAAAGATATTAATAACAATGAAAATTCATTAGTCAATGCAGAAAGCGAAAAACATCACGAGGAATTCGAGAATTCGTATAATGGTACTTCACTTCTTTTACCACTTCATTATCCAGGAAACAGATCTACATTATTTTGTGTTCATGATATTATTGGTCTTTCGCAAACATTCATTCAGTTTGCAATTCAAATGACGAATAGTTATCATAATGAATGTCCATCGATATTTGCTTTTCGTGCCAGTGGTTACCAGACGAAAGAATCATTTCTTCAATCGATTGAAACTATGGCTGAACAATATATTTTTCAAATGAAGCGAATTCAACCAACTGGACCATATTATTTACTTGGCTATTCATTCGGAGGACTTGTTGCTTATGAAATGGCTCGACAATTATATGAAAAACATCAAACAACTGTTGAATCATTGATATTAATTGATCCTCCAATACCTATCGAACATCCATTGATTCTACCAAAACAAATCAAAGAAAATCTATTTTGGTCATTAAAAACATTACAATTTATTTTCAATTATTTTGCCAAAGATGAAACTTCGAATCTTCTTCTTAATCAATTATTTTCTTCTTCTCAGTCATCGATCGAAGAACAAGTACAAATGTTAATACAACAAGCTTTATTAATATTGAAAACTCGCTTTCCTTTCTTGAAAGACAATGAAGAAATGTTTGAGATTATCAAAGCAAATATGATAGCAAAAGAATCTTATACATATCATACAGCAAGAACTTCGAATGATTTGATCAAAATTAATCATACAATTATGTTTACTTTAAAAGATAATCCTTCAAATAAGACCAAACGTCAAATATGGAAAAGTTTATTACCTCATTTAATAATTGAAGATGTTGCCGGAACACATCAAACACTTTTAGAAAACCCAACTGTTCAGTTTATTGTCGATCGATCAAAACAAATGTTTACTTATTGAAAATAAATAACAGACTCATTAACAAATATATTTTTATCCTTTCTCATACATAGTGTTCTATAATAAATTAATCGTTTTCATGCTACAGTTAACCGCTATAAAATAACATTGTAAATGATTGTTTTTTTGCTTGATAATAAATTAAAACGTGTGGATCAATAAAAAGAATTTTCTCTTTGCGTACATTTTATTTAGCAGGGTATTCTTTGTTCCACTTAGTAAAATTTAGATATTCTACATAAAACATTTTTCACATGACTAAAAGTGGAAAATCGTTAAAAATGGCATCATTTCATTTCTTACTCATCATATTCTCATACAAGTAAGATTTTTCTTTGTACTGATAAGAGAAGAATAATGTGCCATATCTCGGTGTATTCTTTCTTCCATTCTTATCAGTAGACGTTAGACGAAGGGAAGTTCTTACTTGTACGGGAATATGATGGATAAGAAATGAATTGATGCCGTTTTTAACATTTTCCCACTTTTATACCAACTATTCATGTATATATCTATAAAGAGAAGAACGATTTTAACATTTCATTATAACATAATCTCAACATCCAACAAACTATAATCTATCAATACCATGAATCATCTACTCCTTATTGTACTTGTATTAACCATGGGTAAGTCATTTTTCTCAAGAAACAAGAAAATATAAATGAATTTCTTCAAAACATATCGCATAGCAAATTGTCTCTTGTTCTATATTTTAGTTATGGGAATGATTGCGGTACAAAGGTATACACCTGTATGTAATTACCCATGCAGAAATGGTGGATCTGTTTCTAGATGTTGCAGAAAATATAGATACAAGGACGGTTGCTGTGAAAATGGTCGACGGGCAGTATGCTACGGCTAAGAATATCACAGCTGAGCATCTATACATCTTATACTATCCTGCTTTATCCCTGAAAAGAAATCTCTGTGTTTTACTCTGCTTATCATTATTTCTTTATATAAACATATTCACGAATTTGTAGTTTTCAAATAATCATAATAAAAGAATTTCCCACTCACATCTTTCATATTTGTGATAAAGAAACTTATTGTATATACCAGTGGCATAGCTACGATTTTTAGACAAATGGGCAGACTCGGCTAGTTTTGAAAAAAAACAGTAGGCGAGGAGGAGCAAAGTTTTCATCGATGGGCAACGGTTTTTTAATTAGATGAAAACTGTCAGAATAGCAAAACAGAAGGGTGTGGATGCGGATGTGGGTAACGAACAGATGAGTTGATACCCACGCTAACACTCACGCCCACTCACACCCTTGGTTCCATGGTTAGTCGAATACAACATTTCTAGTAGTCAATTAATATCATGTAAAAAAATAAATCAAGAAAAAACTCATGTCATTTTATATTTGCACCAATTGACAGTATTAGTCATATGGAACGAGTAACTATAAATACATAATGATCAACATTTTTGAGTTAACTAAATTTAACTATCGATAAAAATAAACATAGAATATTCATATATCCAATTGAATCATTTTTCTGATGAACTTCTGATGGTTATTTTAAAAAATTGACTATAGTATCGATATCAACGGACTAATCCAATATCAGATGAATTTTTTTGACAAATCTTATCAAAAATACAACGAGTAACTATTAGTAAAGGGGGAAAAGTGCAGGACCCCAGCACTTACCTTTTGACTTGTGTTACATGGAAAATATAAATAAAACATACTGTTGATTTTGAAAAAGTATTTACTATTATGTTTTATTGCATATGTAATAGAACGAAGAGAAAAGAAACCTGAAGTATTTGATAAGAAACGCACAAACAAATGTCATATATAAAGAAGGAGAAAAGGAAACATATCAAATCGATTCCTTCATCAGTGAAATTAACGAATATAAATCATTTTGATTCTCCATATTATCTATCATTGCTTCGAGTTCTGGTAACCAATTAATTGAGTACTGTTGAAAATAACTCATATGTTCACTAACAAATGTAAAAAACCATTGATCAGGAATAATACCCGTGGAACATGATTGAATATTTTCACGATTATTTATACAAATAATTTTGATATATGTATCTTCGGCAGTACGACTTGCATTAACGAATGTACATTGTGGTAATTGATAAATAGAATCAATAATATGTAATTTTTCACAAGTAGTTAATGGAAAAGAAATCATCTAAAAGAAAACTCGTAGTAAACAGAAATTGAAAAAAAAACATTTTTTTACCTGTTGTGAAATTGTTTTTTGATTTGAATGACGACTTCTTCTACTTTTTCTTGAAATATTCATCGATGAATTTGATATTCGTTGACATTTAACTTCACTAAAACGTCTTTTAAATTCTTCTAATCGAATTTTATCTTCAATCGTATTCGAAATTTCAAGAAGTTCATTAGCTGTCGACCACATGAACATTATTTGTTCATCTTCACATTCTGCTATCATCTAAAATTTAGACAAATCTTTTTCATTTCTTAAACTAAAACTAATAGAATATATATTCATACTGGTACTGAATAGATAATCATATCAGTTGAATCAATCCATTGCTCTGTAAATTCTTTATCCAATAAACAAACATGATACAATTGTCGATCAACTAAAAATCAATAGAATTAAATTTCTAAACTTCTTTTTATAATTTCATCTTAATTTACTATCAAATTTCATAACAAGACCATTAATATTAAAGACAATAGCAGGTAAACATTGTGATTCCAATCGAATGAGAACAATATCACCCGATTCAAAATAACGAAGTACTTCTATAAATAAATGTTCATTTGTATAATAAATTATATAAATAATTTCGATTCAAACCTTTTTGTGGTTCAGATGATAAATTATCGTTGTTCTCATTTACTATATTATTTTCTATCATTACTAAAGGTACAAGAACATCAAGACTAGGACGACTATTACTAGCCATTATTTATTTAAATCTAGAAAGAGAAAAGAATTCAACAAATTATACTACATATAGAAATGTTGACATATTTATTCACACAAAAAAAATATATATATTTTGTTTTTTTTTAATTTCATTACATCTACATATTTGTTATTTGACTATCTTCGATTTCACGTGTTGCTGGTAAATATACTTTGAAGCAATATTTATTAATTGCAAATGAACCCTATTTAAATCATATATATATATTATTTTATTCAAAGAATTATTATTATTTACTGGATTAATAATAGTACAATCAGCAATTGTATCTGTAATTGATTTGAATTTATCACAAACAACAATTAAATCAGGTAATGGATATAAATGAAGTGCATGATCATATGACCAATAGATGGGTGTCATATAAACAGGCAATGGTGATAAATGTGCTTGAGTAACAAGTGTATGACAAAGCTAAAGATGAATTTTGTTTTGTTTCTTTTATAGATTGTTGAAAAAATCTTACATGCATTGGTAAATTATCTGAAGGTAATTTAATACAATAACGACAAAGTTTTTGAAGAAGATCTTCACGAAATATAACTATTTCTTGTGTACAATATTGTATACGAACAGGATTTGTAGCAAGATGAAGATGACGAATACGTTTTTTTAATATATCATTAATTGTTGATGGTAATGGTGCACTAAAATAAATAGATAAATATATTTTATATTTAATAGAAAAAATATAACGAACCGAGGATAGATTTTTGGTGCATGTCGATCTTGTGGACCAGGTACAAAAATAAAATGTGTACGTTCACAAATATCTGGATATTTTGCAACAAGTTTAGCAAAATTTTTAAAAGCATCTGATAGATCATTGATATATAGATTAGCTGTTGGTCGAGAAAGGAAATTTCCACAAAATATAAATGCAAATGGTGGTTGATCAGCAAATCCATCAAATAATTGTTCAATACGTTCCATAACCTGAGAAAAATTTAAGGAATATAAATTCGATATTATTTTAAAATTAAACCTTTTTGTCATCAAGCCAAACATCCGAAAGAAAGACGAAAGCATCATCAGATTTTTCTTCAATTTCTTTAAGTCGAATCTTTGTTTTTGCACTTTGATCATGAGTATTTCCTGTTATATTTATTTCACCAAAGTATGATCTTGTATTTTGTGCTGTTTCTGGTGGTGGTAAACCAATTCCTGTAACATTAAATATTCCATCATCAATTTGTCCTTCAACTAAGACGAAACAATTTTCAAAATAAAAGCCTGGATGAAATGTCTTAAAAAAATTAAAATAAATATTTCAGATAATAGAAAAATAAATAATTACTGCATTCTCTAGATTAAGGGATATGACACCAGTTGGATCTTGTAAATCATATTTTGCCTATGTTAAAATTAAAATGTTATCCTTCATTTCAACATGCACTATTACCTCATGTAATTGTGATAACATTCCAAGTACAACAATTTTTTCTGATTTCGAACCAGCGGCTAATAAATGTTCGATAGTTTTCAACTAGAAAATAGATACGGATAATTAAAAATATGTTTTGTACTATCAAAATACGATTTTACTTGATATTTTTGTCCTGTATTAGATGATCCTGATGCTAAATTAACTTGTGAAAAAACATCATGTCGTAATGTTCGCTAATAGATTTTTATATAAATAAACTAAGATTTGCTTATAAATATAATTTTACTTGTAATAACAAATCATATCGTTCCCAGAATACTTCAGAACGTGTTCGAGCAGTTCCAAATAGATCATTATCAATATCTTTTCTACAAACAAATGATGAATTAAAATGAAATATTTCTTATAAATAAAATAAATACTCAATGAATTTTTTCATTGATCGTGAATATATAAATTTTGGTATTGAAAAAGCATTGAGAACTGAAAAAAGAGCTTCGCTACTACATTAGACAAAAAAAAAGACTAGAATATAAATATCGTTAAATAAGAATACAAACTGAGAATCATTTGAAAGTTGAGCTCTTAATTCTTGAACAACATTAGTCAAAAGTATTTTTTCAACAATCGATGATGAAACTAGATTATTATTATACGATGAATAAAAAATAAAATAAGTTTCAAACATACGATTTCGTTTTGTTAATAAATCAATTAATTGATCTAACCATGAAGTTAATGAAGCTGATGGTACAGTCGATGCTAATTCAACTAAGAATTGTGATGCATCACTAAAAAATATTCATAACAAAAAAGTATCATCAATTTTGACTTACAATTTTAAATCAAGACCACGTAAACGAAAAGCAGCTAACAC